AATGAAACCAATGAAAAATATAATTCAGGATTTTTGGCAAGAGACTCTTGATGGGCCAACTTTATTTCGTTCGTCCATATATTCTACTTCAATCAATTTTATGAATGAAAATTGCATTTATTACCAAAAATAGTATATCTTACACTTGCAAAGAAGTTCCATTCCAACTAATAACGTATCATTTAATTTTATTCAGTCACAATTTAATAATATTCAGTAGAATATTAATAGAAAATTTCGAGGCTCGAAAATTTACTTTACTACTATAAAATTAGTTTTTTCTATTTCTTAATTGAAATAATATTTCGATCTTAATGAATTTCAAGGAAAATATTTTAAAAGGACATTTCGCGATTTTGTACCCTTTCAAGATAAATATTAAAAAGAGCACATGAGCAACATACTGCTGGAGTCATATAGTCTCGATCTCCCCTACACTTTAGAAACGACGATGTATTCCAATTTAAAGCACAAACATTTTAAACCCTTTCAGGACGAGAGATATTTGATGCTGTACGGTCTTCATGCATGTATTTCAGAAACTATCGATCTGATATTCACAAAAATTGGTACGTTTGTTCTTTCCAAATTTGAAGTAAAAAATGTAAAATTCAAAATGGCAGATCAAATATGGCGATTTTCAAAATTAAAAAATTATCTAAATATGAGTGGAACTTCATAATCTTTAAATTTGTATTAGTGAAAATCCTGACTAATTTCGATATACGAATCATTTTTGCAAAGGTGAGCACAAATGAGTAAATGTAACCAGGTTGGGTCAGGTCTAAAAATGCTTTTCCTTGGTCAGCACTTTAAATTTCAAATATTCGATTTCAGTTCTCAAAAAAGTATCTTTGAAAAGTTTCATAGTTCAAATTTCACGGAAATTGAGTGATATTTATATTATTTATCATTTTTTCCGACATATTGGGTCCGCTATTTTGGATTACAGAATTTAAAAAATCTAAGTTTAGATTCGGATTCAACGAGTCCAGAAACCCATAGAATATGTACTTCTCTATAATTATCTCCCCGAGCAACTCCCCGTCCTGGAAGGGTTAAATTAGAAGGCGGCGGCTATGGTGGTGATGGTGAATATAAAAAATGAGTACTGCGCACGTGAAAAATATTTTCGTTCGACGCGACAAACAAAGCGGAATATCTACTTTATCATCGGCGAAATATCAGGTACGACCATTTAGGAAACGCGCAGGAAGTAGGGAATGAAAAGTGCGCTCGCAGTATGTTTCATTACCCGGCTGTCAACGCACTTATATGAACATTAACGAATTTTAATTAAAGCGCGTCGTTATGACGGCCGGCACGTGTTCGGATAATTAGCACTCCGTGTATCTTGGACGCTTCGGACTCTCTCTGATTATGGTGTCTGCGTTGCGCGACGCACCCCGCTTGCATTTACATATACACCGGGCTAATTTCGCCGATGTACAGATTGCGCAAAAACGTGTTCCATGGAGAGAAATCTAGAGGGGAGGAGGAATGGATTTTACATCAGTTAAGATCACAATTGTGCAATAAAAGTTGACTGAATAAGGACTGGCAGATATGTGCTAATTTAACTACATTACAAATTTAATTTAACTACATTATAAGAGAGAAACAATAACGCGAGTAGAATTAAACAAACTTCAGGGCTGTATATGACGAAATAATCACCCTGATGTCTCGAACAAAATTTGCCTGTTTTTTGGTTCTTGTTTGTGCAAAACAAGCTCAAGGTTTAGTTTAACATATAAGACGCTTATAAAGCTAACTCAACATATTACTGATAGTATTTAGAGGAAATCCCGAACCGACTTTTAATCAAAGGGTCATGTTGACTATGTATTCCGTTAACGTGTTTATTGTGAGAGAAATAATGGAAAAAATCGTGAGATATGCTTCTAAAACATAGGAGAAGTAATTATATTCTGGAAGAGACATTTCGCAATATTTTTGCTACGTATTTTTTCACATATATGTTTTTACTCGCAGTAAATACATAAACAAAATACGGTCATGACCAGGTTTTTTCTATCCTCTGTTCTAACTTAACTATTCATCCAAAGGCAAAATTCCTATACGGAAAAATGTAGTAAAAATGACTAATTAATGAAGAGTTACTATGATGGCTTATGATATTCTTTTGATATTATTAATAAATTTTGATATAATATTATTAGTTATTATACAAGATACAGATTTGTTATTACAACAGAAACTATTTTATAGTAAAACCAATAAAAAATATAATCCAGAATTTTTGACAAAACATTTGTTCAGATACTCAAAATGCTTCTACTGTTTCAACGAAAAAAAATTCGGTATATCAATAAATGTGTCATTATAGCTAACAATTAATTGATCTAGCAATAACAAATGAGTTCAAGCAACTATTGAGTGTGAATACAGCATACTTTTTTTCTTTTCTTAGATTACTAAATCTGTTTTCTTAAAGTAGCTCTGAATACAAAATGGGTGCAATAACTAAAATAATATCAACAGAAGTAGTTGCTCTTTGAAACGATTTTCTATTGTATTGGTCATATTGAGCAACTGCTTTAATTCATTTTGGCGGATACTTTCATTGTGTAAAAGTATTTGTAATTCTATGCAATCAGGACAGAAACTTTGCAGAAAAATGTTAACATTTTTGTCAAAGATGTTGACGATTGTTTGTACACAAAATTCTTTTGCTGCACAAATTTGCTTCATTATGTAAGATAAAAAAAATATATATATATCGGATGTTGTAAACTAGACCGGGGAATCGAATTCGGACGACTGCTCTGTCCAATTAAACTAGCTAAAATGTTAAAAAAAGAGAGAACTCCAATGATATAAATCAAAAAATAGAAAAAAGGGCTACAACTTCCGTGCCTGAACTTTTATTAACCTTTTTTTTTCTATTTTTTTAATTAAACTACCTAAAATACACACATATATATCATATACACTCTCCCTCTCTCTTATTAGTGGTTTTAATGATCAAAAAGGTAACTCGCACACACAGCTCATCTTTTATAATTGATAATATCACCCTAAACAATTAGACTGAATTTGTTGAATCAATTTGTAAAGAGCTGTAGAAGAGATGAGAGAAAGTATATCGGGCATGTTAAGAGTGGGCCGGGAATCAAACCCGGCACCTTTCTCCTGTCAATCGACTAGGCTCTACCAACTAGTCACTAGACTATTCAGACCCCACGCTTCGACATATCTTCCTCTTTTTGTCTTCTTAATCGAATACCACATTTGAAAACTTTAACGACAAAATATTAGCATTTCTGCAAAGTTTCCGTCGTACTGATTGCACATAAATACAAATACTTTTACACAATGAAAGTACCTGCCAAAATGAATTAAAACAGTTGCTCGATATGACAAATACAATAGAAAATTTCGAGATTGATATTTTCAGCTGTCAGTATAAATATTTACCCGACGTAAAAGTGTTGCAGTATGTACATACGGAACGTGTATTCACTCCATTCAGCAAAATTTCAAAGACTTCATTAGTTCATCTCTGCCATTGAATTTAGAAGCTTAAAAATATGCGAATTTTGCAAGAAAACTTCTATATATGCATAATTTTTCGTGAAACAAAGCAGCATACATTTTTATATAAAATCTATATGCGTAAGAAATATAGGAAGATTATATTGAAAAAGATACGTGAATATATTAGCGATTATCTAATATGACGTTCTGACTCGAAAATTTAGTTCTTTTCCTTCGACTTTTCTTTTTAATCTAAGAATGTACCAACGCGTCCCTCGTCAATAAAGTTTTATAATATGCGTGTACAGAGAATAAATTCTTCTTCTGAGTACACGATAATATAGGTTTTTATAAAATTTGTTACAAGTATATTTCGAGTTCTCTCAGATTTGTGTCGAGTATGTGAGTATTTGTAGACTATTATCAAGCAAACATTCTTTGTTGAAGATAAACATTACCCAAGAGAGGGAAAGTAAACTGTGAGTAATCTTCCTTTCTTACACGGAAGAAACGGTATGTTTGTGCCAACCAGACTTATGTGTGAGCTAATCATACAGGGTGTCCCATTTTAAAAGATGCACCCTGATAATTTTTCAAGCATATTCAGCAAAAATGTTTCAGACAAAAATTATATGGTTCAATGAAGGACATAAAAAGATATTATTGGTTTGATCTTGCGTGGCGCCGCCAACATCAGATCGAGGTCAACTTTGTTTTTTTAAGTAAAAACATATATTTCTTTATTACGAAATTCTGTCAACTTTATCAAAAAATAGTAAACGATAAAAATTATTTATTTTTTTCTCATAGAGCTCTGAGAATTTTTTCGGAATTTTTTAATTAACTTTTTAGTACTTCAAGAAAATGCAAGAAAATGCAGTACTAAAAAGTTAATTAAAAAATTATAAAAAAATTTTCAGAGCTCTATGAGAAGAAAACAGGAAATCTTTATCTCTTACTATTTTTTCGGTAAAGTTGATAGAATTCGAGTAAAAAATTATTGAAACCAATAATTTTGTAGATATTTCCGTAAATATCTTAGAAAATAGAGGTTATATAAAAAATGTTTTCAAACAAAAGTTGTTTGTTTCTTTACGTAGGATAAAATTCCATAATAAAAAAAATATATATTTCTATTTAAAAAAGCAAAGTTGACCTCGACCTGACGTTGGCGGCGCCACGCAAGGTTAAATCAATGGTACCTTCTTATGTGCTCTATCGAACCATATAACTTTTATCTGAAACATTTTTCCTGAATTGGCTTGGCTGAAGAATTATCAGGATGCATCTTTTAAAATGGGACACTCTGTACAGTTTCCTTTCCGTGCAGCAGTAGACGATATGATTCTGCGTGTACACCTTCGTTCTTAATTTCACCTCGACTTCGCGCGATCGAGATTGACGTACTGCGAGACGCAAAGGTTAAACGAGCATTAACGCGTGGCCATAAATCGTGGATGCACTATAACATAATTCACATTGCAGACGACATTACTCACCGGCAAGAACTCCGGCCATGTAAACCGCGGCGATCCTCAGGCTTCCGTGAACCATTTCCAAGGGAAGTCCCACGACCACCTGTACCCCCAGGTTAAACAGCAGGTGAAGCCACCTGAAAAAGCAACCACGCGGTAAATTACCGAGGCATATTGTGTTTAAAGGACGATTGTTCTGTTTAAAGGACGGCGTTACGGGAATTTTTCTAATTTAATTACGGTATATTTGCGTGCTACCTTTTGAAGCACGCCCATCACGTGCTCCGCGACTACAGGGTCAACCAGAGTAGTAACTGTAACGCCGTTTCCGACAATATCTCTATTCGTGACCGAGATAATCGCCATAAAGCCGCGCAGGGAAGCGGAAAAATTGGCTATTATAACAAATAAATGCGAAATTACAACCGCGGCGAGCCGTACTGAGCGTATCGCGGAATCACGTCATGTCGTCGATATCACGATTAACGTGTAACGAAATAATTAGCTCCACTACTGTTCGACGAAACAACCTCCAAAGCCGAGTTAACCTTCTGAGTTAACGGAGTATCGGTCGCAACTCCGGTCGTTGAAGATATAGGAAGTTCGAGGCTGTGTAATAGATTCGAGCCATGCTGCGTCGTTCAATCGTGAGTTATAACGCCGCGGGCAGCCACGGCTACGGTTTTAATTAGGAATATCTCGTTATACAGGATGTCCGGTAACTCACAGAGGAGCTGCGGTATACAAGTAGATTAGGTCAAACTGAACAAAAAATTCCTCTGCCATTTTGCGAACGATGTAAAATTCTAAGTTATTAACCCTTTCAGGACGGGGGTTGCTCGGGGAGATAATTATAGGGAAGTACGTATTCTATGGGTTTTTGGGGTCGTTGAATCCGAATCTAAACTTAGATTTTTAAAATTATGTGATCCAAGATAGATGAAAAAATGATAAATAATAAAAATATCACTCAATTTCTGTAAGATTTAAACTTATAATAAACATCGGGCGTGATGCCGCCGTCCTTACCATATAAAATAAACAAATTTGCTCTTATTTTGTTCTTTATGAATATGGCTATTGTCCGAATTAGAATTAAATAATTTGAAGGAAAATTAACAAAATGACGGAGTTTGAAAAATAGTCGTTTGATTTTTACTGAAAAAATTCTAAACTTTTGCGATCCAGAAAAATAATAATTTTAAAGATATCAGGAAGATTCGAGTTCGAGCAATAGCCACATTCATAAAGAACAAAATAAAAGCAAATTTGTTTATTTCAGATGACGAAGACGACGGCAATCCTGTGTTGCCGATGAAAGACGGCGTGACCTGTTTCGTCCACTTGTATTTTCTCCAATTTTGAATAAAAAGCTTTGACAAAATTGGAGATATTTCCTCAAAGATGAATAAATAGCAATACAAAACATTAACTCTGTAGGTTTAACCATTTGTTTAAAATTAATTCCGAAAAATCGGGTCTTGAAAACGAGTCTTTTTTGATACTAGAATATCCCATTAATAACAAAACATCTATGTGATAATTTGGAAAATGGTAGAGGACTTTTTCAGTTTGATATGTAAGTACACTGATAGAAAAAAAATAGTTGAATCAACTATAATCTCACTATATTTTATAAATAATTTTGGCGTCAACCACATTTTTATAGATACCTTAAACATGCAATTTATAGTAAAGGTAACCATAAAATATAGTCCGCACAACCATCTTACATAGCTATCATAAAATAAAATGAAATATTGGTATATTAAAATACCAATTTACCACAAAATATTGTTACAAGAAACGTATTTAAAAGTACGATTTTAACATGCGCAATAGTTGTGTGCGAAACTCTGCTAATATTTTAGTAGTAACATATTATTATTTCTTCCTCTTCTCTCCTCTTCCAGTCCTATTTACTACAGTTCAAGTGTGTGGTGGTTGATCTTTCTTTTCATATGCTTGTGGTGCATGAAAAATTTTCAGCTGGGGATCGAACCCGGGGACCTCTAAGCATGATAGTCCAATGTGCTATCTGCCATGCTACGCTCACATATTATTTCTTATATTTAATTTAATATATAGGCTCGTCCAATAGAGATCTCTTTACTATATTTATGGTAAATTGGCAATTATAAATATAGTCAAATTTATCATACATATAATTATACTCGCTATTTAGGATAGTTATGTGTTTCATTATTTTTTTTGTTTTTACCATATGTATATAGTAAAATAAATGGTAAAAATATAGACACATTTACTATTTTTTGCGATTAAATACAGTTGCGTTGACTGTATAAAATAGTTAATTCATTGTACTATTTCATATGTGTAATTCAACTATATTTATGTTTCACATCATTATAAATCAGAGTAAGAAATTTTTATGGTTGGTCTAACCATGCTTATATTGTAATCTTTACCACAATTATGGTAACGCTTACTGATTTTATGATATTCCTTACTATAATTTTTTTACTATGTGTTTATAGTTCCAATTATCATGCATTTTTCTCTCAGTGTATACAATGGCAAACGTCGCCATCGCAGCTCACCTACTGTATGGCGCGTGATCATTCTGGAATCTTCTTGGATTAATAACCCAAAATTTTACGCGCATTAAAAGAAAAATATAGTTGCTTTCAGCATCAACCATACTATTTTGTAATTTTAACCAAAAAAATAATTAGAAGAATCATCTTTCTAATAATACTTACTAAAACAATGGTTTTTCTAACTATTTTTGTCCTTAAAATCAAAAGAGTATAGTTGACGCCAAAGGCAACTATATATTTTTCTCTCAGTGTGGTTGTTCGTAAAATGATGAATGAGGAATTTCTTGCTCAGTTTCATCTAATCTACACTGAGAGAAAAAAATAGTTGGAATAACTATAATCTCATTATATTTTATAGTTCGTTTTGACCTCAAACATATATTTATAGTTCATCTAAACATGAAGATATAGTAGAATGAACACAGATTTATAGTTACCATCTTATTACTCTATATATATGGTAAAGCTTTTGGGAATATAGTTACATGTACCTACATTTACCAAATATTCCAATTGTATTGACTATATAAAATAGTTAATTTCTCTTACCATTAAATATTTGCTATCTTACTATGTTTTTTATTTCAAATAATTATAATTCTTGGTAAAAATTTTACACGGGTCAGTTATACTATGTTTATATTGTAAATATTACAAATATTATGGTAACATTTACTACAAAAATTATATTCCTAACTATAACCTTTTTACTATGTCATTATGTTCCAAATATCTATATTTTACACGGGTCAGTTATACTATGCTTATATTGTAAATATTACAAATATTATGGTAACATTTACTATAAAAATTATATTCCTAACTATAATCTTTTTACTATGCCATTATGTTCAAAATTTCTATATTTTACACGGGTCAGTTATACTATGCTTATATTGTAAATATTACAAATATTATGGTAACATTTACTATAAAAATTATATTCCTAACTATAATCTTTTTACTATGCCATTATGTTCCAAATATCGTACATTTTTCTCTCAGTATACCTGAACACCCCGACTCCTCCGTGAGTTACGGACACCTTGTATGTAGGCGGTCCTTTACCTTCCCTTCGTCCCCGTCGCGGCGGCAGATAAGGACTCGGCGACGGAAGCGGTCAAAACGCGGCCCAGAAAAGTCGAAGATGCGACGACGACGACGACGAGCGCGATTCCGCCGATGGTTCGTGCGACATTCGTAACGGCCAGGAGAATTACTAGGGTAATTATACTTCGCGGGCAATTTAGCGGATCACGATCAAACAACATTCTTATTCTCCCGGAGTAAGCATTAGTTCGACGAGAGAGAAAGAGAGAGCAGAGTGCGGAGAAAGAGAGAGATGAGAAGAGAGAGGGAGAAAGGAAAAGGGGGAGGAGGAGGGCGTTGGGGGAACAGAGAGGGGGAGAGGGGTGGGCGCCGCGGAGTGAAATAATTGCGAGATACCCCGGGCCTCGGGGCCGCGGTCGTAAGGGAAGTTTTATCAGCGACTTCTGCGCCACAGAAGCACGAAAATCCGATACCCGGCCGTTATCGCGAAACTTCGGCTGACTAATTATTACGTCTCGCCGAGGATTCCCACGTGCGCGCACTCGCTCGCTCGCTAACGACGACGACGACGACGACGACGTAGAATGTCAAGACGACGATGAATCTCGCGAGAAACGACGTAGTTTCATAAAGTGTTGTAAAACGCGAATAAAATGGTGGCTGGGGGGAATGTAGGAAGGGCCGGGAAGGGAGGTGGGGGAGTAAACGGCGCTTATGGCGGCGAGTAACACGGATTTGCCGGATCGAGATTAGAGTCGAAGCCGCAGGGATTTCGGCTGAATTCGGCGGCGATGGCCGGGAACAAAAGCGATGTTAGATAAAACGCGGACGATAAGAGTCGCGCAGGAGCCAGGAAGGGAGAGGGAAGAGAGAGAGGGAGCGAGAGAGGGAAGGAAGGAACGATACGATCGAGACCGTTGCCCGGCCCTCGGAAAATTCGGTCGGCCGACGGGCCGCGCGCGGATATCGGCGAGAGGAAAACTCTCCGCGTGGAAAAGAGCGGGAGGGTAGGAAGAGCAGGGAGGGGTTAGGGGTGGTGAGGGCAATTATGAACATTATCTCGCAGTAAGAGGGAACTTTCTAAGCAACGGCGGAGAATGATCGTTCTCTTATCTGTCGCGTCACACGCTCGAGAGCGTAGAAAATCTCGTAAGAGAGCGGGATTCCAGTTGGCAGAGTGGCGGGGAGGCTCCAGGTTGTCGCCGGAGAAATTGCTGCAGAGTATACGTACATTAGATTGACTCGGAGCTCTTTTCCCGCGGAGCATACATTTCGCTCGTCGGCGTGCTTTTATTTGAAAGGAGTTTTGCTTACACGTAAACTGAGCTTATATCAACATCTGCTCGGTGTTTATGGGAAAGAAAAGATTTTTTTAGTCGATCTAATACGTTATATAAATAAAAGAGAGAGAAGGACTTATACATAAGAGTAAGTCAAGGGGTAGGTTTTTTGTTTGAACGATTTAAATTAACTGTGAGAGAGTAATAATGTTCGACAATACACAGTAATGCTGAAAGAAAGAGAGC